CTTTCTTTCTTTCTTTCTTTCTTTCTTTCTTTCTTTCTTTCTTTCTTCCCCCTTTCTTTTTCTTTCCTTTCCCAATTCTTTCCCTCTCTTCCTCTCCTCCTTTCCTTCTTTTCCTTTCTTTTGCTTATTTGTGTATGTACTGTGACTGGTTTTAACTGTAAAAATTAATAAACTATATTTTTTTTAAAAAAGAACGAAGGATAAATTTCTTGCTAGTGAGAACAATTAACCAATGGAAGGACTTGCCCTCAGAAGGTGTGGGTGCTCCATCACTGGAGCCTTTCAAAAAGCCTCCACTAAGGTACTAATACTATAAGGCCTTAGTAAGACCTGTTAGCTTTGGAAGCCATACTCCACGCTGCCACATAGCCTGAGAAAGTGGGAGGGGTGTGTGTGATTTCAATTGAGCAGCTCTAAGTAGACAAAATAAGATTCTTTTCTTAGTTCGGTGTTATTAAGTGTGGCGCAGCAGAGAAAAAAGGATCTTACACTGGGACAGATCGTGATTGGTCCATGTGATGTGATCATGGGAGAAAAGGGAACGGATTGTAGTTTGGGACATTGTGGGAAGTCCGGAAAACTTTTAGTTTTGAGATTCTACAGATGTGCCACGTGCTATTCTAATAAAGGTACTAATAAAGAGATTATGCTTGTCTCGGAGTTACTGATTGGAATGGAGGTTCGCTGGAACGCTGACAACCATACCTAAACTACTGCATCCAGTTTTGGTCACCACGCTATAAAAAAGATGTTGAGGCTGTGGAAAAAGTACAGAGAAGAGCAACCAGGATGATGAGGGGACTGGAGGTTAAAACATATGAAGAATGGTTACAGGAACTGGGCCTGGCTAGTCTAGGGAAGAGAAGGACCAGGGGAGACAGGATAGCAGTGTTGAAATATTTGAGGGGCTGCCACAGAGAGGAGAAAGGGGTCAACCTATTTTCTAAAGCACTCGAAGGCCAGACAAGGAATAATGGATGGAAACTGATCAAGGAGAGATTCAACCTGGAAATAAGGAGAAATTTTTCTGACAGTGAGCACAATCAACCCATGGAACAGAAGTTGCCCTCGGAAGTTGTGGGAGCTTTATCACTTGAGACTTTCAAGAAGAGATTGGACTGCCATTTATTTATTTATTTTATTTATTTTGATTTGTCAATCGCTTACAAGATAATAGGTATAAGTATATACATAGTTATGAATACTTGAAATGGGTACATATAAGAAAAATAAAAGAAACAATAGGACAGGAAAGGTAGGCATGTTGGTGCGCTTATGCACGCCCCCTACAGACCTCTTAGGAAAGGGGTGAGGTCAATAGTAGACAGTCTAAGGTTAAAGGTTTGTCTAAGATTAAGGTTTGTCGGAAATGGTGTAGGATCTCCTGCTTGGGTGGGGGTTGGACTAGATGACCTACAAGGTCCTTTCCAACTCTGTTAATCTGTTAAACAAAGAGACTGGGCAACCATTTGTCTGGAACAGTATAGGGTCTCCTGCTTGAGCAGGGGGTTGGACTAGAAGACCTCCAAGGTCCCTTCCAACTTTATTATTGTATGTTCTGTGAAGAACACAGATGGTTTTGTTTTGAGTCTGAGCATTTGTGGATGCATTTTAGCACCAATCCAAAATAAAACAGCAAGTGAGGAAGGCAGGATTCAAGTATACAATTCACAGATGGCATTTTGCATACTTGGGATTTTGTATGTTTGTGACTTTCTATTAAAACTAGACCTTCATTTAGATAGCAGTTAAGAATATAAATGCCTTCCTAATAAACAGTGTCTTAGAAGGAGAAGAAGATAAAGAAATTGAGATATAATTTCTGCAGTGCTTCTACAGAGGCTGTTACAATTATCTTTCCAATAGCATCTAATTAGGTATAGATTTTGAACCATTTGTATTTCCCGACAATAAAGTGGAAGGCCAGAGGAAAATTGAAGATTACAAGTCATTGGTCCAATATTAGTTGCAGACATAAAGAATGATAATTCAATCTTTTCAATTGTAGACAGAACTTTTCCTCCTTAGGTTTGATGGATAAAACAGTTAGAAAAAAGTCACGGTAGATTATTTCAGCCTAGGATTCCTGCAGTGGGGTTTTTAAATATACAGGTATGGAAAGATTTGATGCTATCCGCTAGGGAGGAATGACTGGTGAAGTTGACAGATCTTGTTAAGATGGATAAACTTTGATTAGCAACAGAAGAAAATTTTTGCAGCTCAGGGTTGAACTGTGGCATCTTTGGTGCTCTCTGGCCCTTGGTTGTTTTCTTGCAGACGTTTTAGGACCCAACTAGGTAACCTGATCAGTGCTAGAAGAAAGTGAGGTGTGTGGAAAGGAGCAGGAGGAGGAGAAGGAAGAGGAGGAGGAAGAGGACTGTGTGGTCCTTGGTGACTGTGAGCTTGGCTGTTTCTTGCAGACGCTTCATCACCCAACTACTTAACATCATCAGTGCTGGAAGGGAGTGGTTATAAGTTGAGGACTACCTGTCTCTACATTTCCCAGACACTAAGTATCTATGTAGACGATTATGATAGCTAAAATCTCAGAAGTCTCTGGCAAGACTATTTTTCACTAAAGTCCATCTGTCATGCCCCAACATATGATCTTTATATACTGTTGTTGCTCTCTAGCCCTCTCTAGTGTCTGGAGAGACAAATACCAAGTATATT